ATTATTATGTATATTATATATTATATATATTATTTATATATGTATATATTATATATATATATATATATATATATCATATTATATAGATATATTTTGATATGCATAGCGCCAAAAAAAGCTGACAAAAAACGTTACATGCTTTTTTTTAAAAGGGATATATTTATATTTTTATATTTTTAGATTTTTAGATTTCTATTTATATTCAGTCATATTTAAATTCCCGAATTTTTGTGTTAGGGTAACTAAATGTAGCCTAAAAAGTCCGAATATGCAGTTTTTAGATGGTGTCTGTAAGTATTTGTGCCTTTTGCTCTTTTTTTCTCTCTTTTTCATCACAAGGGATTGATAGGACACCATAATTTTTTGAAATAAATATAGATTTTTGAAAGCTCTATCAATTGACACGGATTAGTTTTGAAAAAAAATTGCATTACAAACATAAAATTTTCTGCAAGTCTTTTTTTGTTTGAAAACGAAATCATCAAACGTTTTTCTCGTAAATTATTTTTTTATAATATATAAAAAGAAGAAAAAGACGAGAAATGATAAAATGAGCTGTTACTACCGCTCACTTGTTTTTTTGTCATTATTGACTAATACGCAGTTTTAAAACTGAATTTGTCCTTGAAAATCAGTTGTTGGACGTTTATTTTTGAATACGGCACAAAAGAAAAATGGAGCAGTGTGTCAAGTAGCAAATTCAATTGTTCTCACACTGCAAACAGATTTGTTGGCAGAAAATTAAAAATTTTCCACATGGTAGAGAACACGTGCCCATTTGTCTGATAAAAACGAATAAAATTATCAGTAGCAATGATTTTGCACCCGTCCCAATATTTACATCAAACACAGATAAGTTTCGACTATTCGTGACCCGAAATATCAAATATTGCTGAAAATAGAACCCTTATTTATCCGATAAATTTTTCAAAAATACTAATTTTTGGAATGCTCACCTATAAATTCAGAAGTTCAGGCTGTGGACTACATCATTTAGGTGTGATCACTTTGAGACAAAAGTCCGGGACTAGATCATCAAGATGAAGACGCCCTTTGTTCTTCTCGCTGTTCTCTTTATACAAGTAAGTCCAATTATGAATTTAATAAAATTTGAAAACATTATTCATTGTCAAATGTCATTTCAAGTGATTCCAAAAGCTTTCTCTCCCGATTCCATGATTTCAAATGATTTCAAGTTACTTCCGATAATTTCAAATGGTTTCAGGACTAATTCCATTCCATTTCAATTCTGAATGTCACACCAATTTCACCAAGAATAGCCCTTCAACTCGAATTATTGTAACAAGTATTTCAATTCCAGGCGGAGGCATTCACGGTGAAAGAGCAACGGTATTTCAACTTTGTAATAATGAACAATAAAATCAACAAGATTGCTAATAATGTCACTACCTACCTTGAATCTGTTAATGACGATGTTTATCAATTGGCTTTGAATTTCCACGCCAACATGAGCGAGATTCGAGAGAAATACGGACCCATGTCATATGACTATTACGATCGCAAGGTAATTACTGAAAATTATATAATTTTCCTCATCACGTCGTGCTTTTGTGTGACTTTCCTAGAAAATATTCCTTAGGATTTATAGATTATTTTATTTTGCACCATTTTTCTGTCATTGATATCAAACTTTTCTTTAAATTCAGTAGAAGGAATTATTGAATTCTTCGATAATTTTTTCAGTACTCACGCCTAGCTCATGAGTTCGCTACTAAGATGAGCCTGAGCAGGGACTGCGCAGGATACGTAGCGGACGTTCTCGCCAATAATGAGAAGTATCAGAATATTACGTCCGAACTCCTGGATTCAATTTTGCATTATTTCAAAATTGAGTATGAGAAAATCTACGCAAAAATGATAGACATCAGAAAAGCGCTCACCGAAGAAGAAGTCGACGCTTTTAAGTGCTCCACTACATTCACCGGCGGTGATAAGGACGACCATTGGAATTGTGCAGAAAGTGTACGTATTATATCATTTTACCGATGAGGTATACTTTTTACAATCATTTTAGAAAACTATGAAATATTACAATCCAAGTCCAATGAAATTCTCCAATAAAATTCTATAATTATTAGTCCCATCATAACCAACATCATAAAGGAATACGTGGTAATAAATTATACTAAATTTTTTATATCTTGAATTTTTAAGATTAATATATTTGGAATTCCGGGTGTTGTCAATTTTCATAGAGCATTTTAATTAAAGTCTAGTTCCTCATCATTATTACATGAAATTCTACATTTTCACGAGAAAGAAGTTTTTTTCTTGTTCCCTTTCTCGTTTATTTTTTCAACATATGATGATTCCCGTTGAATTGTAATTTTCCGTGAAAATTTTCACACTGACAATTTCCCTCTGTACAGATCATCAATTCAGTATAACCCAAGGAGTTCCAAAGTGCATTTTTCAGACCGTGTCTGAGTATTAAACATTTATAATATAGTATTTTTTTCCAGTCGTGTTTTTTTATTGCTCACCCTCATCTCTACTTGTTTGAATTTTTATTTTTCAAATGGCAGTCTCATTGGGCCCTATTTATCAAAGACAATTATATGATATGCGATATAAGTGCAACTCCCATATTTGTCATATTTTATAATAACACTATAATAATATTTGTAGTTTCTTTAAACAACAGGATTTTCAAATCAACAATGTTATGACGTCAACAGTCAATTTACGAAATAAATAAAATGATTCGGTTTGATCATATATCACGATCATCCACATGGTCATTAAACTTAGAACTCATTGGGAAATATGTTAGGGCCCAAATCATTTGGGGAAAATCATTCAATATGGGGAACGGGGAAATTATTTGAGGGTAAAGGAAAAGTTTCATTCGAGGAAATCTATTCATCCGGTAATTTGTTTCGGTAAATTTTTGGTGGGATTTCAAATGTGTTCACCCGATTTTCTTATCGTTAATTGTTAAATACGGATTGAATTTTACAGGCCTATACATCAATAACTATTATTCAAACGAATGCATTTATTGATATGAAGCGTCTCTATAATGAATTCATTGTGATGAAGGACGCAGCTCTCAATAGCTTACACCAAAGACTTAAGGACGAGCTTATATTAGACTTCTACGACAACGACGCAAGCAGGCAGCGATGGTTGGAGGTAAAATTTTTATTTATTACATTATTTCATTTTATTAAAGTTATTCTGATACACTATAAATAATTTGAAAACAATCTTTTTATTGAACAGACATTCTGCTCCTACAAGCCATCATCGACGCGGTGAAATTTCTTTATTGGTTCATCTTATTCACTGATTTCATAAAATGATGATACGAAAAGTAGAAAAACATAAGAACAAAAATTTATTACTATTAAAGTTTATAAATCTTTCGCACCATTCTCGCAATTTTTCAAAAATCTTCACTTAATTTCTTGGAAATATCCATTGTATTATACTTTCGCTGACATTTCGAACAATTTTTCAATTAGAGATGCATCTGTGGAAGAATTAATATGAAAAGCGAAACATTTTTCGAACGAATGAGCAGAATGAAGAAACTGTAGTACTGTCACACCGTTTGAAATAAATCTCAAAAAAAAAAATATGTAAATGATTAAATTGCGGGTCAGTTTAATAATCCCATAACTATCACCAATGAAATTTTCTAAAAAATCTAGTTATACTATCAATAGAGCTGCTTTATCTTCGGAAATTAATCAGAAACAATGGGAAAATGATTACGCATGGAGACCCACAGGTGAGCGCAATAGTTTCCACTAGAACGAAAATCACCGATTTTGTATTTATTTTTGATTTTGATTAAGTACACTTTACGTATGCGTCCGTCCTTGGGAATTCAATTAATTACGGTCGAGTGATGGCATAATTTTCAGTGCTAAGTATTGACAAATGCCACTAGATGGAACCATCCATGCATGCTAATATATCTCAATCAATTTCCAAATGAACGAAATGAACATATTAATTTCCTTTTACCGTCTTCTTTTATTGGAGCGTCGATTCACCAGATTCCCCGAGAGAGTAAAAAAGAAAGGTTTTTTATATAATTTTTTTCTAATTTTCTTTTAATTCGGTAAAAATGCGAATTCACTAATCGAAGTTTGTGTTTTTAAATCAATTGCGATCGGTCATTCATGTTAATTTCCTCTTTTCCCTCATGGCTTCACTTTTTTATTGTGCATTATTTTGTTAATAATAATAACCATTTAGATTTTATGTATACCCATTTTTTTTTCTTGTAAATTTACACTTATTGTGAATACTGAAGTGACTCTGGAATAAAAAATCATGGCCAGATCGGTAAAATCTCGGAATATAAACATTATATAAATATAAACATTATATTATATTATTATAGGCCCTAAGGCCTTAGGGCCCTAGGGTCTTGGGTTCTAGATCGATTTCTGACGCTTTTTCGCGCTCTCAAATTCATATGTAATGAAATTCGTTTTTGAAATCAGGAATTAAACACCGAAAAAAAATCTAAATAAAGAAAACCGGAAGATTGTTTCTATCAAATTACCAAATCAAATGATCATTCTATAAAAATGGTTAAAGTAAGTAATTATTTGATTAATCTAGTCTTGTGATTGATTCGTGCCAATTTACATGTTCTTAATAAATATATAGTAAAAATAAATAAATATACTATTAATGAAATAAAACCGAAGCAGAAAAATGCATTATATCATTCTATTATAATCATTTTTTGTGATTATTGAAAAATTAAAAAACATTTTTTTTCATCTAATATGAAAGAATACTAATGAGTTGTTCCAGCCAAATTTATTCAATCCAATATTTAGCACTCACCAACCCCTATGCGTTTGCAACTATTCACCAATTTCCTTCGTTAGTTGCAAAACAATTTTTTTTTATTTACGATTTTTTCTTGAGTTTCTAAATGAATATGAGATATATCAGAATTTGGAAAAAAATCTGGACAACGTAGGCAAAATGGGCCAGTCGGGCCTTAAATTCAAAACTATGCAAATTCCCCTGCATAATGTGCTCCTGAATTCCATCAATTTTCAGTCCACATGCAGTCTGCTCGCGTGTGCCCATGGTACTTCCGGTTCCGGCGCGTGCGGGCCGGTTCCCCTTGAGAATAAGGACAACAATCGGTTCCACCGGTCGATGAAACAAGACGAGAGAATAAAGAATAAAACCAGAGAGTACGAATGAAGGAAGGAAGATCGTGAGTTGCACCTGACGTGTCGAGGGCCGGGTTGTTGCCGCCTCCTGGACGTAGATCTCCACAGCGATATCGATGGTAATGATCGCGAATTGAGACAGTGTGAGAGGCCACGACAAATGGCCGATAAAGAATAATTGGAACTCCCCGAAACCGCCAATTCAATTTGATGAAAAATTGCACCCACTCCGCCCGCCATAGCTCAAACTAAAATAAATTATATGAAACAATTGAGCAGAGGAGGAGATTGAGTTGTCAGATAATTACAAGGGCTTTCTTCTTTATCCTCTGAGTCTATAGATTTTTAAAGGAGGTTAGAACAGCTGGCGAGTAAGACGGGGGAATCCCCGGGATTTTTTTAGAGGAAGTATGGTGAGGAGTAATAAAATTACATGTGGCACATTTGGCTGTCGGGTTGACGGTGGTGGAGGGTATGTACCCTAGGTACTGGCCCACATGAGGGGCTGCAAGCCAAATGACAGCGTGGATAATGCTCAATAAACGTGCCACATGGACACCTTATGGACGGGATGACAACTGCTGGGTAAGCCCCTGGGTGATGCTCATTTCTGGTGGGGAATCCAAATTTTTACCTTCTCCACTCATCCTCATAAATAAACGAGGCCCATGTTTTTCCAGAGACAGTGTTTATTTGGCTACAGCTTGGGGCGCCTGTAATCATCAATCATTTCCGTGAGTTATCGAGCAAATATTTCATTAAAGAAAGAGGATATCGAGGGAACTATCTATTGAGATAGATTTAATATTCATTATCAGAATTGTTTGACGTAACATGTCTTGTGGGAATGTCCATTGTACAATTATGCTGGAGAAATAATTGTAAAGAATTATGGGCAAAACAATTTTTAGATAAAAAATCATCATCATTAGTCATCATTAGTCATCATTAAATAAAATAAAAATCAAAAATCAATGTAACCTAAATCCTGAGAGTCAAAATTTTGTATTTTATTACTTGTATCTGAATGAAACCATTAAATAAAAAAATGTTTAATAAAAAAATTGTTGGACGTAAATTGTTATAAGGGGCTGATTGTTCTGTTTGTGGAAGTTCGATTGACGGAGTGGGATGAATAGACGTCTGCGAAAAATTAACGACGCGGGGTGATAACCAGCATCGTTTAGAAAATCTACCAAACGTTGTCTTCTAAGCAACACATATGTCAGGCATGTGAACGCAGATGGCAGATTAGCTTCTACTGAATGCGTGATTATGTACTAAATACCGGAAGTCTTCGCTCACATGCCATGATTGTAAAATAAAATAGTAGTTAAACGTAATTTTAATATGAGAACAAACTCATGGATGATGTTTTTATGTTAATTCTTATTCTGCTTTTTGTTAAAAATAGAAATGATTGTCCGGGAGTTACGTCAGAATTTATTGCAATAATGCATTCATAATTATTTCGAATTCTCACTCGATATATCGTACCTATGCGATTCAGAGATTTTTTTTTACATAATGTAAATTATGGAACTAAACAGATATTTTTCTATGGAAATAGATGCCATTAATCATTATTAATTATATATCTTTCATTTTGTGAATCAATTCTTTGTCGAAATAAGTCTTAGAGAATTTTTTTTTTTAATTAGAAATTGGTTTATTGATTAATAATCAATGCTTAAAGGTAAAAATCCAGATGCAGGACTATATCTAGCCAAAAAGACGAAAAAAATGGTCAAAAAAAAAGGAACGAAATTGTCACGCCATTTTATGCCAACAAATAAAATCTCACAGAAAATCCTCGATTTTACTCTGCAGAAAAAA